AATCAAGTGTTATGTGTTGTCATCATTCTATGCTCCCATACAATGGTGAAATTGGTTCTCTGCATTTAACCAATTGCACATGGGACACACCCAGGTGGAGCAGTGGGCAGCTATGTAGGTGCCCGGGGAGCAATTGGGGATTAGGTGTCTTGCTCAGAGACATCACAACATGTGGGAATAGATGGGGATCCAACCTGGGACTTTCGGGTCCAGAGTTGACTGCCCTGCCTCTACCCCATCTCGGGATCTACAAACTTTACAAATAAAAGAGCCATTTCTGAATGTATTAATTTGTTCTGATTTGTTGCATGAAGCTTGAAATAACGATGACACACTTTATTGTTTTCATGGGGCAAAGGTAAAAATCAAACTATTGCAAGGAGGGATTAAATGAAGGCTGCACAGAAGTCTGTTGGAGCCATCCTCCCCACCATCACAAATTTATTTACAGATTCAGGAAGAGGGCCACCTGCATCATGAAAGACCCCACTCACCCAGCACACACACGTTTTGACCCTCTCCCCTCAGGCAGGAGGTTACTGAACATTAAGTGTAGAACCACTAGACTGAGGAACAGCTTCTACCCTGAGGCTGTTAGACTCACAAATCTCTAACCAGAAAAATCAATGTAATACCATTTTAATTGGTGACATGTCACTTTATCTGTGCTGCTGATTTCTTACCCATAAGCTGCTGTATTCATACCCATCTGCTTACAACAGACTCAAGGTCAGGCTGCTGTTAGTGGCCTCTGACACCATATAATATTATATTATTATTGTTTAGTGTATATCTTAGATACTTGTATACTGTTTCTTTTTATACTTTATATGTTTGCTGTTTTGGGGTGTAATTAGAACCTTAAGTACACAATTTTGTTCCACCTTATGTACCACATGTGATGTGAATGACACTAGACACCTTGAACCTTAAATGTTTATACCTTATTTGTTCTCATTTTTAAAATTAAAACGTATTTCACCTTCAAATAACAAAGCTACTTGCTTAATATAGCCTATTATTAGACATAATAAGGAGATGAGTTTTCTGCATATGAAATTTACTATTTTTCACATAAAAGCAGAACTTTTTTTTTAATCAAATAAAACTATATTTTTGTTTTTGTCAAAATGACATGCTATAAATATGAATGCCTTGTTTCATTGTTTCACAATATTTTAATCTATCAAGTGCTTGCAAAACTGCCACAGGAGACTGTCACGGTTTCATTCACAGGAAAATAGCTAAAACTGGTTTTCCTGTTGTGGTTCTGAATATAAACCGTGTTGTTTAGAGCTACAAAGAGCTGCTTCAGAGCCACATGTGGCCCCCGACCTGCAGTTTGCAGTCCCTTGAGATACAAATTGTAGATAGATAGATAGATAGATAGATAGATAGATAGATAGATAGATAGATAGATAGATAGATAGATAGATAGATAGATAGATAGATAGATAGATAGATAGATAGATAGATAGATAGATAGATAGATAGATAGATAGATAGATAGATAGATAGATAGATAGATAGATAGATAGATAGATAGATAGATAGATAGATAGA